ACTATTGGCCTTCTTGGCCACCTGGGCACACTGCGGGCTAGTTCTTTTCCGATGGGCAGCTTTGCAGCCACTCTGTCCCAAGCCTGTAGCATTGCATGGGGTTGTTGTGAGCCAAGCGCAGGACCCGGCAATGGGTCTTGTTAAACCTCATACAATTGGCCTCAGCCCATCAATCCAGCCTGTCCCGATCCCTCTGTAGAGTCTTCTTACCCTCAGGCAGATCAACGCTTCCTCCTAGTTTTGTGTCATCTGCAAACTGACTGAGGGTGCACTCAATCCCCCTACTCAGATCACTGATAAAGATATTAAACAGAGCTGGTTCCAATACTGACCCCTGAGGAACATCACTCGTGACCACTTGCCAGCTGGATTTAACTCCATTTACCACCGTCCTTTTGGCTTGGCCATCGAGCCAGTTTTTAACCCAGTGAAGAGTTCACTAGTCCAAGCCGTAAGCTGCCAGCTTCTCCAGGAGAATGCTGTGGGAGACCACATCAAAAAGTCTAGGTAGACAACATCCACAGCCTTTCCATCACCCACTAGGCACATCACCCCATCATAGAAGGAGATCAGGTTGGTCAAGCAGGACCTGCCTTTCATGAACCCATGCTGGCTAGGCCTGATCCTCCAGTTGTCCTGCACTTGCCTTGTGATCGCGCTCAAGATGATCTGCTCCATAACCTTTCCTAGTACTGAGGTCAGGCTGACAGGCCTGTAGTTCCCCACATCCTCCTTCTAACCCTTCTTGTAGATGGGTGTCACACTGGGAAGTCTCCAGTCATCCGGAATCTCACCGGTTGATTAGGACTGCTGCTAAATGATGGAGAGCAGCTTGGTGAGCACTTCAGCCAGCTCCCTCAGGTGGATCTCATCCAGCCCCATAGACTTGCAATAGTCTAGGTGGAGTAGCAGGTCGCTAACTGCTTCTTCCTGAATTATGGGGGGTTTATTCTCCTCCCCATCCCTGTCTTCCAGCTCAGGGAGATGAGTGTCCTGAGGATGACTTTTCTGACTATTAAAGACAAAAGCAAAGAAGGCATTGAGTACCTCAGCCTTTTCCTCATCCTTGGTGGTGACGTTCCCAGCTGCATCCAATAAAGGATGGAGATTCTCCTCGGCCCTCCTTTTGCTGTTAATGTATTTGTAAAAACACTTTTTGTTATCTGTTACAGTGGTGGCCAGATTAAGTTCTAGCTGTGCTTTTGCCTTTCTAATTTTCTCTCTGTATATCCTAGTAACATCCTTGTACTCTTCCCCTCCTTCCAAAGATGGTAAACTCTTATTTTCAGCAATGCCACAGCACTGCTGAAGTAACAGCTGTTGCACTGCTGAGCACATACTGGGATGGATCAGAGGGCTCTGGGGTTGTCAGGACTCCAGTAGAGTAAGAGATATTCTGAGATTTTGGGGCTGGTTGCTCCACAAGAATCACAGTTATTGAGACACAGAAGGCTGAAGGGACCCTTGAGGTGTCTCCTTTGGCAGCAATACACTGTATCTTATAGCGGTAGGTGAATGCTCGAGTCCAGATGGCTTTATTTTTGTAAGCAGCATAAATGTCAAGTATGAACAGCAGTTCTGGTTTGGCCCCGCTCCTATGGGTTTGGAAAACAAATTGCCGCTGCTTGATTTCAAATAATTAGAGTTCTATTACAGTTACATGTACAAGTCTTTTCCTTTCAATGCACCTATTACCAAATGATGCACTGGGCTAATTATCTTCAGAAGACAAAGAGTCTCTCTGTGCTGCTGATGAAAAACACTGAAAATAAACCCTGGTAGAAGCTTTATGAAACACTAACTATGTGCAATTTGACACAATCCTGCAGATCGAGTGCTGTGTTAGTTTAAAGATTACTTCAGAAAACAAGCAGAACTTGCCACATTGTTTGTTGAACAATAGCAGTGGGAAGAGAGAAAGCACCCAGAGATGCTCATCTGTTAGACATTTCTATAAATTTCACATCAATGTATTTCAGTTTTCAGGAGAGCATCTGAGATAGGTTTGTCTTTCACTCACATGCAGCTAGCCTCTAATTTTGAAATTTTATTCTAATCTCTCTCTGCAATCTGAAAAGCTACTTTGAAAAACAAAAGAAAACTCCTTTTTTTTTCCGTACTGTATTTAATCTTCAGCTGAAAATACAAGCATTGAAGAGATACAGGAATAAATCCACCACAATTAAGAGAGACCTTATGTAGGTTAGTCTAACACTAAGCCCCACCCTTTCCACATTCAAAGTCTGAATGTGTGCCTGAAGTATTATGTGCTGAGGTGTGGCTGTACTGTAAAATGTTCTTAAAGAGAAACAACAATACAAAAACTTGAGAAGTATTGCAAGTATTCTTATTCAAGTATTATTTTAAACTTGTTAGTGCCATTCACATTCTGGGCCAGCAGACCTTCGCCCAAGAGTGCAGTTCTGTCACTTTCTTTTCCTGCTGTGGAAGGAAAAATAGCACCTGAAGTTTTGCCAAACTGTAAAAAGTATAAAACAAACAAACAAACAAAACCAAAAAAAGATTGCTGAGTGTCTCACTGGAACAAGAGCAAAAATAAAGCAAAGGATGTAATGAAAGGCAATACAGTGTGAAGGAAAAGACGAGAAAACCACAAAGAAGTTCATCTGAGGCTAAGACTGAAAGGCAGGGCTCCCTGTTAAAATCTGGTAGACACCTTCCCCTTACAGTACTATGTGGCCATCAGTCTCACGTGCCCACAGCCCAGGCTTGTCCATCTTCTTCCATCAAGGCATCCAGCACCCAGCTTTGCTTCATTACCAAAGGAGGTTTCCAGAGCATCCTTCCTCTTGTTTTGGGAACTGATCTCCTCAGTACAACATACGGTGTTGCTTAGTTTCAAGATGCAACAACCAAAGCTATTTTCACCTTTTCTAGACTACTTGTATTCTTAAGACATGTATGTCTACTAAAATGAAGACAGTATAGTGCCTCCCACTATGTCTGACTGGCCTCTGCTACCCCAGAGCAGGGCTCCCTCAGGCACAAGTCAAAATGAACTGACTAATAATTTTGTAGACAAAAAGAAGAAAAGATAAAGGCACAGAATAAACTGTCCAGGTAACTGCTAGGTACGAGGAATGTGATTTAACTAAGCCGCATCTTAAGTAAACAACATGTCCAAGTCCAAAGTCACAATCCTATATGAAGAACTTCACTTCAGCAAGAGAACAGAAAGGAATTCAGGAACTATCCCTCTTATCCAACTGACAAATGAGAAGGCTTTATTCTTCTTCCTCATCCAACCAGTAAGAAAGTCTTTGGTAGGGGAGGTTGTTCCTTAAATTAGCCAAGGATCTCTTACTCCCTGCAGAAGAACTGGCTCCCTGATTTCCAAAACTGAGAGGTGAAAGGTCATTTTCAGTCTTGTCTTCAAAACTAATGACCAGTGCTAGTGTGTTGTTGAGTATACAACAGAATAGCAAACTCCATCATTTCCACAGACAGAAATCTTCTAAGGAAGATATTCTTATCTACACAGAAACCATTCCAGCAAGATACAAGTATACATTTTTACTGCAAAGCATTCTCCTTCACAGAAGACTACTTTTTCTATGAACAATAACTGACTCTAATTTAATGCAGTTTCCACAGTTTATTTCATCCTAGTCTACTTTAACACCACCTGGGTATTTCCTCATTTACCTCAGAAATGCACAGGAGTAACGTGAAGAAACATCCACCTACCATGAAAAGGGCTTCATAGTTTTCAATCATCTTTTGTACAACAGCAATGATAGCAGTACTCTCTTCAGCTCGAGCTGAGCTCTGAACTGAGAATTCTTTGTCTGTAGATTTCTGCTTGTGCAACAAGTTAGGGCCAAAGATGGTAGCCAAGTTAAGTGATGTCATTTTGTTCCCAGTAATCTAGAAAACAGCATATAAAGAAGGTGGAGTCTAATGTATACAGATATGTATGTACAGACATATCCACACACACATCCCACACACACCCCATTTGGCAGATGGTTCATTCAGCAAAACCAAAACCAAGTGCTAGCCAAACAAAAAATGAATGATTTTTAGGAATGTTGAAACGCCTCGTTTGGACATGTCTGCGACAAGCACTGTGGATTTTCTGGATGTATTTTCAAATGGATTGGAAGAGTAGAAGGTGGAAGTGCTGCCTGCCCTTAATTCCCGGGAAGCTTGGCAGTGGCATACTTCTTCTAAACTCAGGGAAACCTTCTCCTACTTCACCACCTCAGCATATTAGGACCAAATACTGAAAATGGTTAGCTTTCGCAAGTAGCACTCACAATTTGAAGCAGATACAGTGAAGAAAAAAAACTTTTTCATGTTTAAACAGTTTAGATAACTGATATTATTTATGAGATTTAGATATCTAAATCTATTATTTAGATAACTTTTTCATGTTTAAACAGTTTAGATAACTGAGGAGCATGCTCTTTATTTTTATTAATATTTTCCTGGGTTATTGCTTGTTTCATTACAACGTGCTTAAAGTTTATGCCACTTGTTGTGTGGTGGTTTTTTGTTTTACTGATTTTTTTTTTTTTTTCCCTCCAACTCTGAGCTCAAAGAAGCAATAGTAACCTGATTTTGAAGGAAGAAGGAGGCTAGGAATACATACTAGGCTGGACAGAAATTATCTGAAAAATATGTCATACAGATTATTAAATCAAAATTTTTGTTGTCATACTTGTGATTAGACTACTTTTCCCCCTTCTATTCTTTTAACAGAGCACAAAGCAGGGGTCATGCACTTCCTCTCTGTGTCTCCACTTGGTTGCTATTCTGGGAATGCAGAAGAAGATGCCAGCAGTTTGACTATGTAAGTGAATTTCATCTGTTGACCCAATATTTCTTGCAGGTTTTTTTAAAAGAATAAAAAATAGCATGAGAGTTATTTTTCATTTGTTTCAGTTACATTTGAATGAATTAATTTAAAAAAGGACAGGAAGAGGCACTGAAAAGAGGCAGTGAAAACAGTATTTCAAGAAATGAGTGGTATAAAACAAATCTTTTTGAAGTAGGTTGTTTTTTTTTTGTGGTTGGCCATTTACTCTAGTCAAACTTACATCTGTGCACCGACTACACCTGGTTTATTTTTTACAGAGTTCAACTGTAAACAGCTGTAGACAGCACAGAGAAGATAGTAAAAAAGAACTTTTATCGGTGGGACCACTGTGTAATCTTGGAGAGACATCTGCACTAAGTAGGTGCATGGGCATTTATAACAAACATGTTGGCTTTTTGTTTAGAGACTCATCCCAGCATGACTGAGTACAGTACACTCCCTCATTTCTCCACCACCATGCACCCCACTGTTTTTCGGGTGACCTGCTTTTTAAATGCTGTCAGAGTACTGAGCCAGCAAGGATGTACAGGCATGTAGCGCCTCTGGCATCTGCATGTGCAGGCTGTCTGTACAAACAGTGAGTCTTTTCTTAAGGGCAGCCTCAGGGCATCCCTTAAAAAAAAAAAACATATCCACTGAAATTAGCTGAATAAGTAATTTTAATAAATTCAGTCATCCATCTTCATCTTTGTGAGAGAAGGGCTTTTGAAAGAAATCGTGAAGAAGGACTGTGTGCCAAAGCTTGGATGTTTTCCTTCCAGTGATAGCAAACAGTCTGATAAAATACTTTCCCTTGATCTGTATGTCTTTATTCACTAAATTATTAATGAACAGCTTAAATAATTGTGAACAAAATATTGTGTTATCTATAGAAGATATCCAATTGCACATAATATTCCTGATGCTTACAATACTACCATGATAACTCACATAAATTTGCCTACCATAATACCTGTAGCAGAGTTGATGTAGTGTTAAGAGGAATGAAAATGCCTTTGATACAACTGTTGGGACAAACCAGTTTTCTTAAGCAGCACCCTTTAGCCCTGCAATAAGATGCTCTTGGGCACATTCCTCAACCAACAGAGAACTCTTTGCAGGACCAGGGGGACCACAACCTTAGTTGGCTTATACATGCAATGTTTTTAAGCAGAGTACAATTGTTACAGGCTTCTCATTTTAAATGATCTCCATCATAGCCATGTAGGTTTTTTTATTAACTCCTTGCTGAGGACAAAAATAATAGCATTTAAAAGGGATTTAAAAGTGAAGTAGGCCTTGAAGTCACATAAAACACATTGGAAGTTAGGACTTGGGGCAGAAACTTGGCAAAACTCAGTCTCAAAGTGCCAATCGTTAAATCGGCCAACTGCAAATGGTGACCAAATCTGACAGAAGTCAGTAGGGTTTTCCATCTGGAAGACAAAATTCTCCAGTAGTTTCAGAGGATTCTTGGAAGTAACCTCAGAAGTAGTCTCTGCTGAAGTTCAGAGGACAGAGAAGTCCTTCCCACAGATACACTGGTACAATTTTTGTCCAGCAGTGGAAGACTGTATCCCTCTCAAAGTTAATGGAGTTGCCACCTTTTGCAGAGCAGCCCACTAGTTCAAGCATTTTCCTGGTAGAAAATGGGAAGCCTGGATTTTCTGATCTTCTCTAGCATGAATGGCTGAGATGCATGCATGTGAATGCTCAGAAGTACAGCTCAGCTACATGGCTATGGGTGTTCTTGTCTCTGTGGGATAGGTGCACTCCAACCTCTCCACTGAATTTGGTCCAGAATGCAACAGAAAGGAGGCCAGAAGGAAAACAGGCAAAGACAGACCCTGACTCCAACTAGTGATTGCACTAGTGACTTCATTCCAACAGTTCAGTTACAAGGATGCAGGTATAATCCTGTCCTTCATTTATTTTTCACCATCCATTGCATACAAGGAAACTAAGGGAACCAAGAAGCGAACTGCTGTGTCCAGAAATCATAGAAGAAAGCAGCAGCAGAGGATGAAAAGAAAAAGCATACTCTTGAATGCCTGACACTTCCCTATGTGAGTATTTTTTCCACAGAATATAACAGGATAAAACAAGGAGAGGAAAAGGATGGCTAACACCAGATGTTCTTAACAACAAGGTCGATTATGCTGTGAATCTACAAATGGAAGTGGTAGATACTTTACTGATTTAGTCACACCAAAATTAAACTCTCACAGCCCTAAGAACACAGTAAACAACTAAATGGCAAATATGCAGGCAAGAATATGAAGTCTCTTCCATGCCACCATCATGTTTGTTTCACAGCTTTAAAGATCTCTTTTCAGACCATGAATTCAGCAAAGTCAAAGGACAGAGGTGACCAGGACTTACCTCTTGGCCATCTTTGTCTGTGGTGTCTTCTGCATGGCCAGCCACTGTGGAGAGGAACTGCAGCAGCCGGTGGAGGGTATCGCAGTTACAGGGAGGTAGAAGATAAATGAGAAGCTGTAAGGTGCTTAGCTGTTCATCTGGCTCTAGTACTAAGAGGGGGAAAAAATACATTCTAAGAAAATCAGTCCAACTAGCCTAAAAGCAAAACAAATATACTGTTCCCAGCCCAAAGGAAGGTGTAAAAGTAGCTTTCTTTAAGGACCATTTCCCTTATAATATCAGAAGAAAAAGTGAAAACTCTAAGTTAGTATGAAAAGTGTAACAAATACTGTTAAGGGATTTTTTGCCCTGGTTGGTCAACATTTTGCCCACAGGTTCATAAGATCTTTCCTCAGCCTATAAGAGAGCAAAATTCATATTGCACACTATCACTGCCACTGGGTACAAAAATTCTGCTTAATTTTCTACTTACTCCATTCATTTAGGTACAGCTACTGCTATACAGAGGGCACCATTGTGAAGCATTCCAGTCAGATTTATGCTTTAGTAATTTTAAATGGGTTTTCTTACAATTTCACATCTTTCAGAGGAGACTGGAAAAGTAATTAGAGATATAAAGGACATGCTGCAACCACCATCTCTTTAACCATATAAAATGCAATGGTAGCCAGTGGAGAAAGAAGGGACAGAGGCAGGATCTTGGATGTAAAGGTTAGAAAGAATCTGAAGAACACATATCAAGCAGCAGCTTAAGCTTGAAGGGTCCAATTTTACTTTTCCCAAATCTGTGGGAGTCTGCACTCAGGTCTTAGGCAACACATTTGGGAGTACTTAACACAATGACTTTGAGGACCATTAACTATGATGAAACTTAAACTTTTGAAGCCAGATTGGAATTTTGGCAAGTGAAAGGCTCTAAAAATTAAAAGCATTAATGGATTCAAATGGGAGTCTGTCATCTGCTACAGCTGAACTAATGATAGGGGTCAGGATTTAATAGATAACATGAATCACATCCTATATATATAAATGCGAAAATAGGTATTATAAGTGAAATCTCTGTTGCTCTAGTTTTCTGGGCTATACTTACACACTATGAAAACCAATGAAAGACTGTAGTAAATTTATATCATACAAATACTTGGAGCAAGTCAAGGCTAGAATATTAAATGCACAGAAGAAAGCATATGGTGAGTAGAGAATAAAGAACTGAAACAGGTAAGCTTTTGAAAAATCGATAAATCAAGATGCTGCAGAGCTCACAGAGAGTGTTGATGAAAGGTGTATAAAGTTCTCTGGTGAGAAGCGGGTCCGGCATGTCACGCAGAAATTCTTTTAATAAAGCAGCAACATCATGAATGCTGTGCTCTTCGTCTAATACAACATCTATGCCTCGGTCAAACTCTTCACGTAACTGAAAAAGATCATGACACAAAACCACAGTTACTTATTGTCCCAATTAGTACATCCCAACACAGAAAATCTTTTAAGATGGTGATTTACTCATTTTCACTTTCCCGACTGGACATGACTAGTTTTTGGTAAGGTCAAAGATATAATTGATATCTAAGTGCTTCTTATTCCATGATACATAACTTAAGGTTTGTACTGGACTGTAATAAAATACAATTCTTTCTTTCCAGCTAAATACATGGCACTCTTTTATGAAAAAATGTGCCCAAGTAAATATAATTTTTGCAGAATTTAAAAGATTAATATGAAAGGCAGAAACCAGGGAGAATAAGGAAAACTGCAAGAAAGGCTCTTATATCAACTTACTGCATTATCCTTAGATTTTAGAACCAGAAAGACTAAAACAGCATTTCATAACATTTATGTTTTTGTACAAAAACATTAATAAAAATACAATATCAAAATCCACCAAATTCACATTTCTCTTGTGATTTAAGACTGTAATTAAGCATAAGCAGTAAGCAGCCAGGAGACTTCATGGCATTTGTCCACACACATCTTGTTCTGCCTTCCTAATTTAGTTATATTCACTAAGTGATCATCATTAGGGAGTTAACAAACAGCAAGCTAATACTATTATGAGGCATCTCTATTTTTTTTTTTTTTTCCAGTTACAGTCCTCAGACAAATTCTGTATAATTCAAAGGCATCACACTTCCCAAAGGCTGAAGAAATTCCTCTCCCACATCCAATATGCCTTATGAAAAGATAAAAGCCTGCCTTTCTGGAGAGACTTCCCATCACCAAGAGCAAAATACTTTCTGCAGGCTGAGAGTTCCACCTTTTACTCTCTTTTCATTTTCAAAGTAGTCATGATATCTTAAAACTACTTCCTAAGAAAATTTTGTATCTTTGCTAATATTCGAGGTATCATGATCTCACATATATCTTCTCGGAGAGTAATTATATCTGTATCTTACTAAACAAGAGGAAATTTGAGATATCATCTTTCTTTACCAGGATTATTACAGACATATCAAAAAGAAGGAAGACGGTAAATCACAAGCAAACTATGTGTCTGTGATAACCTGTGGCAAATCTTGATCACAGGCAAATCTATCTTGACTGTATATAGCATGGAGGAACGTAGAAAATCACGTATTTTCAGATGAAATTGTGCTTTGATACCTGGTGCGATAGGTATTCTATAAAAAATACAGCCTCCTTTCTAATTTATTAAGACTACTTTAAAAAATATTAATATTAGTCATTATTAATAATGAATAATTAAGCTATGAAGACCAGAACTTGTTCTTTATCTAGTATTATGCTTCACCCTACTGATTTATGGTCAAAGATTTTCCAGTGACAACTTGGAGATTTCATTCTCAGCTCAGTTCTATTCTTCAGACTTGTGGCAAATGAGAAACATCACTTTTCCATAAACTACCTCTTATCCAGAAGATCGCTTCTGCACTTACTGCCCAAAAGCAACTCTGGAAACAGATTAGTCCTGCATCAGGAATTGGGTCTTCCTAAATAGCTACCTAAATCATAAATTGCTGTTGCAGTCTTGAATACAGCACTTCCAATCTGATATCCTGTGAGGCCTACAGAATCTCCTAATTAGCACAATATCAGATAATTCTTGGTGAAACGCGGCCGCATCTCACACCCAGGTATCATGGCTGTTAAAAACTGTGTCTTTCTAAGTTTAAACTTTAGGTCTCTCAGACTTCATTCACAGGGAATACTTTCAGACTTATGTATTTCACACCCAGTGAAATACAGCATCCACCAGAGCTCAAGAGGTAAGAATTGAGGACATCCCTGCTAGGAGAGGGAATGGGAGAGCAGAGCTCCAGCCAATGTCACTCTTCAAATTCAGTATCTAGCATTTGCTTCACTTGCAGAGCTGCCCCCAAGGCACCAGCTCTAGCATAAAGGGCTGCCCACCCTAAGTTTGGCAACAATGCTCTCCTCAAGCATCTGTATAGTTTCTGGGCACAACCTGGTACCTGGCATCCCAATGTACCAGACCTACCACCTTGGGTCAACACTAGCCCAGTAATCTTTGTCCTACACCCCACTGAATGTGAAGGAGGTGGTTTGAAATAGACGTCCTTGTTATAGATTTTCTCTTTCAGCTCACCAACCAAAAACCTCACTGGCACATGCATTTGCTTACTTACATATTTGTTGCAACAAGCTACAGTTGAAATAGGACATTTTCTAACTGGGGGAGGAAAGGAAACAAAACTGTGCTTACTTTCTACACAAGAAAAATTAACGAACAGCTGCAAAAGCACACCAAAATCTGAGTACTGGGCTTGGCTTTCCATGGTTCAGAAAATGAGAGGAATTTTAATTGAATCCAGACTTTCCCATGTGTTCATGTTGACAGCATTTATTATTATAACTGCAAGGGCCAAGCTGATGCTTCCATGTTGTTTAATGAAATACAGTAGTTCACCTAATTCAACAAATTAGTCCATGTAATAGAATACATAAATACCCAAATCTCTTGATTTCCTCAGCTTTTGAAAACACAGTAAAAGAAAAACTGGTGAAAGTCATGGGTGTTTGAAGTAAGGTTTAATTTACAAGCAAATGATACAAGCCCTCTGCTTTTTCCCCTGAGGTATGATGCAGTTGTACTCACCCGTGATTGATAATACATGTTTTGACATTGAAGCTTGTAATGCAAATGACAGGCAACTTACTTTTCAATACTTTACCTAGTTCAGTGTTCAGCAACTGCTTCTGCAGACCATGAGTGTTTTTAGCTGTTACACCAGCCACACAGCAATAGAAACAGCTAGAGAATAAGCTACAAATCAGTAAGCTATCCTCTCCTACCAGCCAGAATCAAGTCAGCTGAGCTAATCAAGGTAACTTTCCAGAGCACCAAACACTGTACTGTGTAGTTTTTGCAACAAAGGACTATTATTTCTTGGATCAGATGCAGTCAAGTTTTATTTTGCTTTTTTCTAGTTGATCTTTTTGGTCTTACGCTTCCTGGCAAGGGTATTTTCCTGTAACTTTTTTATCCATTAATCACTATTCTCTACTGCTCTAATTCAATGTGTATTCCCAGCTTTTGGGAGTAACAAAAATACAACATCTAGGGCTGAGGAAACAGCCACTCTGACTTTGTCTCTGGAACCTAGCTGTACACTATCTTTGCTTTTTCAACATTTGGCTGAGACTAGGACTTGGATGGGTCTGTTCTGGCCTTCAAGTTTAACAGGGGTAAAAGAAAGGTGATATTTGGGAGTAGTGATTTGAGGGTCAAAGAGATTGTTCTGTACTTGCATATTTACCCATACTGTGAGTTTTCAAAAAAAGATTTACATTTTGGGTTTACTTTGTGAGCTTCAGCTATTGCTGAGATGAAACTAGCAGCCAAGATTTTTTTTTTTCCCTTCAGTGTAACCTTTGGAAAATTTCATCACTGCAGTCTAATTGGATCTCCAACCCTGTGCTACTTCTGCAGAGCAAAACACACAGAGACTGTTAACCAACTGAGAACCTGACAAGGATTTCACCAGATTTAGAAGATGACTGAAAATGGTCTGTTATGAGCCACCAAAAAGCCAGTAAGGTCAATGACCCAGAAAGCCTGAATTTCACCAGGTGACGGATGGGGAGGAAATAACTTAATAGAAAGGTATCAGGCTTGTTTGTATCACAGCTGATGAGAGAAGAGCATATTCATATCCACTCACCTGTCTTACTCTCTTTTTTGAGCTTCCAACTCTGAATATTCCTACTGTCTGAAGACCTGCAAGTGTAGCACATCAGACAACTGTTTTATTGTTTAATTTTCTGCTGAAAATTGCATTGAACCAAAGCAATCTGGGCTATATATGCACTTAAAAGAACAAAAAAAAATGCAATGTATTTCTTTACAAACTCGTACTTACCACATTGAGGCAAAACTCAGTTGGATTAAGAAGCCACCCACAGCAGTTTTTAAAGACCTCACGTTCCCTAACCTGCAAAATGGCATCTCTGTAACATTTCTTGTGATGTCATTTTGGTAGTGCCACTGCTACCCCATGAGGGACAGACGTATGCAGAGAGTGAGGCACTACTTAGTGTTTGGAGATGGCACTTCCAGAACTGGCATCGAAGGAAAAAGGCAATAAAATAACTAAATACTTAGGCACTGATTTGTGTTTTGGATACAGGAACCAGCTGGTGTTTGGAGTTGCCTGCTGGCTCTATAATGCCTGTCAAGACAAAGCTGAGAGTTTCCTTCAAAGGTACATAAGTAGGGCACTCAGGTAGCTTACAAGAGGGAAGAACTACTCTACCTGGGAGCTGTGTGTGGTTTATAGGGTAGGAACAGCTATTATATAGAAGGAAAGCTATAAAGTAGTACTGTTGTACTTCAGGCAAAGTGCAGAAGGTGTGCCTCTTGTGTTATTTAGACTTAAAGTGATTTGGAAATGGGTGTTGCCTACTGTTCCATTAGAAATCAGTGCAAACCTCCTTCTAGCCCTGTAGATATTACCAGGATATCAAACAAATGAAAATGTGGCTGTTGAATGGACATACTTTGCCAAGTAACACAAACTGCAAAATCTGAGAGTAAATGAGGTGACATGGTCTTTAGCAGTGAGGATGTGAGTGGAAATCTTGGAAACTTAAGCAGGCATGTTCATAATGTCATTTTACACAGTCAGACATTTTTTGCAAAAGGGATTAAATTATCTATAAGCTTTGAGAAGTTTATGGTCTAACAAAGGCTACTCTGCAACATTCATTATCTCTACTGACATAGAGGACACGTAAAATAACCTTGCAAAAGAAATGCCTTTTGACAGCCATACAGCTACACTTGCTTGCTGCAGATGTGTAGCTTTGCAGGGGTGCTTGGAGTTGCAGATTTTCATCAGAGAAATTCAGACATGATTATACCTTTTAGTTTTTAGTTTCAACTTGATACCTCTCTTCAAATATTCTCTATCTTTGGTTAACAGAAAATTAAATTGATGGAATAACATTCAGTAAATCCAGGAACGTTGGCAGGGAATCATCTGAGATGGAGATACTCATATTGGGCAAAAACTGGAGGCTGGTTACCAGTTTCCACACAAACATAGTATTTGCTTTATGCTGCAGGTCTGCAGGAAGTCAAGGCTTTACAACTCGGGGACAGGATCCCAGGGAGAACAGGGAAGTTGAACAAGGCCTGGGGCTTTCATGCCTAAAAACATAACCATTTTTTGTCATATAATGTTCAAAATTATCATTTAAAGCATTAGTGAGAAGCACCTAGGTGATTTGTTGCTGAAAAATTGGCCTAAAGGACCTATGCATACAGGTAAGTATTTTCAGAATCAGAAACCTGGTCCATCATATAGCCTGGAATGATGTTGCTACAGGATTGTCGCTACAACAGAAAGTCCTCTATTGTCCCTAAAGCCAACAGGCAAACAGTAGTGTTGTCCTTCTGAAATCTTTAAATTTCTCGAAGTCAACCAATCCCGATTACTGCTTTGTGGATGGTGGATTAAATTGAACATTGAAGAACATTAATATTTGCCACAAATTATCTCAGATTATCGTGTTGTGGGGTACTACAGTGCACTTTTAGAAAATGCACAAAAAACATACATCTTCTTTAAAAGGAAACTTCAACCTAAAACAAATATTTTAGTAAAGAGTGTTGTAAAGAAAAGAATCTTTGTTGTGACAGTGGGTTAAGTGGATTAAATTTATCACAGATGGTCAAGTGACATAAAATCAGAGTATCCAAAGGATAGTCAGCTGGATGGATTTTTTGGCTGACTCAGACAGTTTTATGTTCTCCAAACTCAGCTACCCTTGCTTCAAGGGACAGAAGTCATTCATCTCAAACTTAATCATCCTCACACTTATTTGTCAGCCATGATATCTAATCTTTGTAAAAGGCTAACAATTACTCTCTTTCACAGTTTTTCTTTATATATGTGTAAGCAACATGGTTGTAAAAGCTTAGCATTGTTGTTTAAATTGCAATCCCTCATCTGCAAAAGCCTTTCATTCAGAGACAGTAAATGATTTCTTTCTGGTCAAATTAAGCATCAAATGCATCATTTGGTGTTGCAATCACCATTACTTAACGGTTTGTTTATTATGTGGCCATGTGATAACTCGGTCCTGCTGTGGTCAAGTTATTTCAATTATCATCAGAAATCTTTACAAGACTAAGATACATTGGGAGAGATGTTGAACAGATACCTTGATTAACTATTGTTTCTGAATTACATAAAGCTGGTGGGAGGCTTGTGTCTGGACGATCATGAAGACATGAGAAAAATATTGGCAGGAGTTTAGAATTCCCTTTGGAGAGGGCAGGCCTGAGCCTGAGGCTGGTCAGGAGGACTGAAGCCAAGGATAAACCAAGTAGGCAGCCTGCAAGCCTTGTTGTGAACAAGAAAAAGCTTCTTGGAGCTTAACGTAATTTAGCATGGGATTTTTTTATTTCTCTGAGCCTCTATCTTCAAATGCTGTTTCTAGTTAAGTCTTGCACTGCAGTATAAATGGTTAATTTAGCTCTTACGACTTGAGATCCACTGGTTGCAAAGAATGACTCCAGGATGATCGGCACGTTTCAGACTTTCATTCTCAAGGTATGGGTAAGCCTGTGAGGTATGAAGAGGCCTTCCTGCAGAGCTGAGCACTCCACTATGAGATGAGTGACCTTCAAGAAACATCTCATCCCCCATGCTGCATGGGTCAGTTTGCAACCTTGTAGCACAGATCCTTAGATTGAAAAGGTACCATCTGAGTCATCATTTGTGAGACAGTATCTTTAGTGAGAGGCAAAACAGGAGGGAAAGTGTCTGACTTTCAAATATGTCCTTGCAATTAGAAGTATATCCTTGCTTCTCAGAATACCTTTTTATTTATGTTATAGTAAAAATATATCTGCCACTCCTGGGAAAACAAAATATTCTTACCATGCTTTTCCAAGTGCTGGCAGCAACTATCTACAAGCCGCGGAACCTGCCTATAAATAGGGTTCAGGCTTAGTTTCTTATCTCTTGCCTTTTCTTTCTTGCTCTGGGCTTCTGCTGGCAAAGAGAGCTGGAGAGCCTCTAACAATCGTGACTGATTGTCATCGAGATCTGTAATAGAGTCCACAGACATCGCACCCTGTAAAATACACACACATAACCAATCAGTACAGCTGGAGAAATCTAAACACCACAGGACCTTATCTATCAAAGACTTTTGCCTATCTGCATTTTAAACAAACTATGCAGTTTTTGTAAATTGTTGAAGTGATAGTACCAGTGTAATAGATGGGAAAATCACAATGGTACCAATGCTACTATTACCACACTACAAGGAACACAAATTAGATACTGAAAAAACTAAATGCTTTCCACTCAGCACGCCTTTTTATTGTTGTAAGCCTGCACATACGTAAGAACAAGGATGAAATGTGGTGTGTGCACCTCAGCAGTGCAGTATTTATGAGCATGGAGATCTATACACATTTTTAAACTTGATTCTCTATTTCTTCTGCAGCTTGGGCCATTGTATCAGTGGAAATGATGCTAACAGATTTACAACTATACACCACATACAGTTAACTAAAACCACAAATACATGCAACTGCAGAGACTGAAATAATCCCATGTTACCACAGAACAAAGACACATTAGAGAAGTAGAGGGGTAATATTTTTTAGATCATTTTACTTTATGTATCTTAATATTTTAAAATCACTAAAATTTTAAAGAAAGCTTTGAAAACTATGTTTGGATTATAGCAAGGCACAGAAGTTCAAGCAGTCTGTAAAGGATAAAGCAGCAGGAGATTTATAGCATGTTTCAATGTTCACACTTGAAAAATCAAGATTTTTTTTTATTTTTTTTTTCAAACCACAAGATTACTGTCACTTCAAAATGGCCATTTCCCACAGTTGTTATTAAACTTACCACACAAAATCATTTCAGGGGAAATCTAGGCTTATAAATAATAATAATAAAACAAAAAGGAAAATTTTTGTTTTAATTCTCATTACAAATATCTATTGTAAATTCTCTTCTTTCTTTCTGAAACAAAGGATACATTTTATAATAACATAAAATGTACTGTATAGGGATCCAGCATATCATCCTAAGAAACAGTGAAGAAAACAAATTCCCATTCAAAACTTTGCTGATAACTCTAATTTCTTAAAAGTATGCTGTTCTGCTGACAGGTATTTCAGAGACTGCTGGTGAGATCTCTGTGTTCATTAAATGAGAACTATACAGTTGCTAGGGAATTTCAAGCTCTAGAAATATTTTCTTCCATCAGCCTAGACAACTGAACTTACAAAGATTTCCAACCCATAGGCAGCTCGTACAAAGTCCACTGAGATTTCAAATGAATTTAAAAGTTTTTAGTTCATAATATCTTTTAAATGAAGCATCTAACTTACCTAGTACAGTTCTGTTTCTTATAACCCATGGAAGACTTATAAATAAAATACAGTGAAGATTTTAGATTTTTTTGGACCCATATATCTAGACCCTTTAGAACGGAACTTTGACCTTGATTTCTAATGTCTCTCAGAAGTACATTCGCTTGATTCTCTTTACCACTTCCTGCCAAAAGGAAACAAACAAACATTCCACACCCAAACAAGAATCTCAGGCTATGATCCATGTGTGTAAAATTCCAACTGAACAATTTTTCTATTTTGTTTTTAAGAGTCAAATTAGCAGACTGCACTGAAAATCCGAACACCATCCTCACCGCTACAGCTCCCAGGCAGTTCCTGTATGACAAGTGCCCTCCTTTATACCCTGCCTTTACTGGTCGTTCCCTGTCTGCAAAGCATCCTCACCTCATGAATCATTATTATCACAGAGTCACTTAAGTCGGATTCAGATCCCTAAAATAGATGTAAATACAGTCAGTGCACCATTATGCTTGGGCGTTTTATCAAAGTTGTGGATTAACTGGTGCACTGAGCTGGCTTTAGGAAGAGTGACCTTGAGTTCAGTGGCTGAAGCACAGCACTGCTTTACGATTCTGGGTCCAGGCCAGCTCTGATTTTAAATTCCCAAGTGTACAGGAAAACACTACCAACATACTCCATGGATCCAGCTCAAACTCAGCCAGACCTTTCATTAGGGCTCAGCCAGACCTATATGCCTGCTGAGGAACGAGGCAGGAGATCATTCACATTGCTGCCCACTACTGCAGGACTATTATCAGACACAGCGCTACTTGGACTGCAATAGTCCAGCAAGCAAAGAAAAATCAATTTCCATCTACCAGGCACCACCTTCGCAGACAAAGGATACCAGTCCCTGATACACTATGACAAGCTCAAAATCTAACATGAAGGAAAGTGGAGATTAAAGAGGAGATGGGAAGAGGAAAAAGAAAATGAAAGCCAGAGGGACAGGTGTGGAATAAAGGTCAGATTAAGCTTTTCTTTACTTTTTAAGGATTACAGAAAGCTTTTCTCTTTGGAAAAGATGAGCAATATTACAGAGTATGCACGGGATCAAGTACTATCCATGACAGATCCATTTTCACTCCCAACATTATGCTATTTCAATAGTAAAGCAATATGACTGCGCTCCCGATACATGAATAAATTCTGGCTGCATAATATATATATAAAAATAATATATTAATAGAAAGTCAGAATATTCTCTATAATAAGCACATAGAAAGTGACTTGCTAGATGACCATGATCTCAACTTTCAACCGCTCGGCAAAAATCCTTCACAGAAAACGCAGCAACAGTGATTTCTGTCTAGCTCTTGAAGGAGCAATAAACCACAGCTCTCGTACGGTGAGCTCTGCAGCCAGCACTACCTTATATCCCTTACTGAAAGCCTCAGCTGAGTGTTTAAAGATTCACTGCAATACACAAAAGTGACAGACATGGTTACAAAGTGAATGGCACAGTGATAAACAATCCCTCCAATTCAACTTTAGCAGGACTGTGCTCCAGGTTTCTGTGCAGCGTTTGTGTGAGAAACTGGTTGTATCAATTGCATATACTAATGCATTAATTTTTTTTTTAAGCACTTGCCTTGATAATAGTTGAAAATAAACAATGCAACACTGCCCAAGAAATAAAAGATAAATGCATGCTGCCTTGCCATCCACTAAAAAAACTCAGGGGAGCAGAGTAACTACGTTGATCAGCAGAAGTATAAAGGCCAAAGACAGACAAGATATGTGACATGAGTTGATACTAATGCTAAATAATTGACAATTCATTAAGTGTATTACTGAATAACTGAGGTTCAGTCCCAAGAGAAAATGCCAGCGCCCTCCACGTCACACTAACCCCTTCAGCCTACTCTTACTTTCTCTGTAGGTAAATTATGTACTACTGCATCCTCACAGGTATAGACTAACGGCCACAAATTCCATACCCTGAAAGCTGCAATCCTGGTATTAACGAAAAAAACAAACCAAACAAAACCTTCATGGGTTTCTAGGAACTTGGTCCTGATGGAGCTTTATCCCCTGCATCTAACAAAGGATCCATGCTCCTCCTTGCTCGCTGGCCAAATGCATGTCAGAGATCTCACCAAACTTCATGTAAAGAACAGCAGATGTCCCATATCTAGACACAAGAACTGTCTTTCCCTCATATGAAAACAGGTTCTGGGTGTACACAGCAAATTTCTATTTTTTGTCACTGCCTATGCCAAATTCTGAAAGAAGTTGGTGGTTTTCCTTTCACACTTATATTCAAGTGTACTTTGCACTTTTGTGTGAACACAGCTGCCTGTTCTTATGGTCTGGACAGGCCAACAGATGTGCATTATGCATATATAAGAACGCAAACTTCTTCAAATATCATGCCCTCAGTTATTTGCAGACAGAATGCAGACACTTCAAGCTTCAGCTGACAGCCAGAGGGAAAGAAGACAGGTCATGGGGCTCTTCAATCTTCTCTTAATTTGCAATTTACTCCATTTCTACCCCTCTTAACACCGTGGCTTGAAGAGCTCTACACAACATTTCTATGAAGCAGGCTTTATCCTAGAGATAACTGCTGTAACTAGCTGCAGTACCAGAAAACTGGAAAGGTCCAAGCATAAAATTTACTTTAAAGGAATAGAACCTTGCAAACAAGTGGTCTACCAGTTACCTATCTTACATGCAAGATTAACATTCAACCCAAACCACTGCAGTGTCTTCTGCTACCGAAGGCCTTTTCATAGCCTGGATGCATGAATGTCCTTCAAAGAGCCTGGAACAAATTTACTCTGACAACTTCTTACTAACCACTGAGGACATGATCAGAATTAGATCAAGGGGATTTTTATTAATATTAGGATAGGGATTAATTGTTAGATATATTTCCAAGTTTGTGGAGTTAGACTGACATAAGTATACATATAAATATCAATCACACAGATTTAGTCTCCTTGAGCTGAAAAAAATAGGTTGAAGATGGATGGAATTTGTTAAATCTAAAAGACCTAGACAGAAGGAGGTTAATAAAGGGAGTGAACAGAAACCCTCTAAATAATCTCTCTGCCACTTTGTGATCTGTAACAGACTTGCACAGTCCATATGATCTTTTTCCACCAGCACCAGAGAAAGATTTCCACTACAGTTAGAATTTTCTAGTATTCATAGAATCATAGAACAGTCAGGGTTGGAAGGGACCTTAAAGATCATCTAGTTCCAACCCCCCTGCCATCAGCAGGGACACCTTCCACTAGACCAGGTTGCTCAAAGCCTCATCCAGCCTGGCCTTAAACACTTCCAGGGAGGAGGCATCCACAGTTTCTCTGGGCAACCTGTTCCAGTATTGATCAGGCTAGCTTCCACCTGAAAATAATAAAAAAATCACTGTTTGAACATGACAGAAGAAATATTCCACAATCCACATACACAACCGAGATTCTTCCTGCTTCAGCTAGACCCTCTGGACCTACTGGCATGCACCACACCGTGGTGGGTCTACTTACACGTCTCCTTGCTCGTGGTGCTGGCTCGGGTGTGTTAGGAGAAGTGGATTCATTCGGTGTTTCTGAGGTTGAGCTAAGAGATGAGTTACTGCTTGAAAGTTCTTTGTTCTGTCTTTTAGTTCCAAATGGCAAGAGAAAGGCCACAAAATCTGAAACATCTTTTTGTTCTTCTCTCTGAGAGTCTTGCTTGAGTTTGTAGGCCCGGTCATTAGCAATCACTTGGGACAAGGGCATTCCAAAAGCCTGGGGAATAAATTCTGCAACAAAAACAAATTAATATTTACTGAACATCTGATATTTATTTAGTACTGAAAAGAATTCAGTATTAAGCTGTTGAAAAGACAAACAATCTGAAGTCCCTTTAAATATGTAATAATTCCAATGAGGTACTGGACTGCAAAAAATACCCAAAAAAACCCCAACAAAAAAACTCAACAACAACAACAACATTCAAACAAAAAAAAAATAATAGTGAGGACATGCCAGGTAATTGTAGCCCATGGTATCTGAATCCTGTTTCCAGTTAGATCATGCAAGATATACCACACAGAATCTTGGGAAATCACTTGGGAGTGGATTTAGTTAAGATCTTAACTTCCACTGAAAGCAATTGGAAGTCAGGCACCTTTGGCTACATCTGGATAGCACAGAGGGCCATCAGAGGTCCTGGTAACCTAATCCTGAGACTGGGGAGCCTGGCGGGACCATGCCACAGCTCTCTTACATTTCAGACCCCTTCACCAGGTTTCTTTCTCACAAATACTGCAGGACACCAGAGTCAAAGGGTACAGGTACGTGCATGGGTCTCATTACAGGTCAGGAAGGTATGTACCTACCTGTGCAGGGAGCTTGTAAGTGCACTTATTCAACTAAGCCTTCAAGGATATGATTTTAAATAGATACAAGAACTATACTGCTTTAACATACTGGCAATATTAAAACAATTTAACAGTGGTATATCAGTATAAAGGTCCTTTGTAACAGTACAAAAATATATATGAATATATAGATATATGGGAGAATACAGGTATCTCTCAATTAACAAAAAGAATATAATCTCATCCCACATCAGTGTAACTGCAATGTACAAAACCAGCATGCTCAGGTCTCAGACTTCGGGTCTCAAAGTAAAATGCTCAAATATTTTTACAAAACAGAAAAATGCTCTACTATGAATCAGTCAACAACATTGAAATTCTCATCATCAAGTTTCCAATCTAGACCTATCTGAGAGTAGTAGAAACCAAAACCATTAGGACAGGCTGCCAACTAGAACTGTTTTGTGCTCAAATGGAATGAAAAAGTAGCTATTGACTCTATTCATCCCATGGGTGCAGTTTCTATTTGGTTCCAGCTTCAGACCTGCCTGTAGCAGGAATAAATAAAGCAACAGAGATGAAAAGCAACATTTTTTTTAAGTATGAAAAAAGGAACAACAACAACAAGAAAAAAGCAACCAAAAAAATTATATACTATCCTTCTCAACAACAACAAGAAAAAAGCAACCAAAAAAATCATTATATACTATCCTTCTCTTTTGCCACAACTGTCTAAATGATTAAAAGCTTAAGTTCCTCCTGGGACTTTAAGTCTGACTATATCTTTGATGACACTTTCAAATTTTATCTAGGTTTGCATTATCATTAAGATTAAAGCAAGGCATTGAAAAGAGGAGTATATTTTATGAATCTTGAATGAGGACACTACCAACCTATCATACTAAAGAGACAAAGGCCTGTTCTGATTTGGTGGGAAACATTACTGTTCTTTAGAAGTATGAAAAGTTAAGACAAGAACTAGCTTTGGTGGCCAGACAAAACTAAACCAGGAAGCAGAGCCTCAGATATCAGCAAGTCTGGAGGTGACCTGAGAGAAAAATGACATCTAAAACCATGTGTATTTAATTTAGGACAAGAAAGAACATCATCACATGGGTATCAAGCAATGTGGGGATTGTCAGTTCCAGAAGTCCTGAGTTAGACCCGTACCTCCTGTACCCAGCAGTGTGCCTTTAAAATGATGAAAATATTAGGTTTTTGGGTTTTTTTTTTTTTTACTTTTGTTAATTATCTTCTCAATTAACATTTAAGACCACAAACTTGGAACACACAGATGCAACGTCTCCCATTCTGGCTGTCTAACCAGGTACTTTGTTATACCTCCAGCACACCTATTTATCTGTACTTCCACAATACTTCCTGAGAAAATCCACTGAGCCAAATGAATTCCTGAGCATGAAATATTTCTCTGCTTTTGGCTCTCAGACACTTGTGCTTTAAATTGAGATGGGACAACAGTGATCATAGAATGGTTTAGGTTTGAAGGGAGCTCTCAAAGTCATCTAGTCCAACCCCCCTGCAGTGAGAAGGGACACCTTCAACTACATCAGGTTGCTCAGAGCCCCATCCAACCTGACCTGGAATGTTTCCAGGGACGGTGCTTCTACCACCTCTCTGGGCAAGGTGCTTCTACCACCTCTCTGGGCAACCTGTTCCAGTGTTTCACCACCCTCACTGTAAAAATTTTTTTCCTTATATCTAGTCTAAGTCTCCCCTCTTTTAGTTTAAAACCATTACCCCTTGTCCTATCACTAAAGGCCCTGCTAAAAAGTTTGCCCCCATCTTATCATAGGCCCCCTTTAATATTAAAAGGCTGCAATAAGGTCTCCCTGGACAACTCCAGCTCTCTCAGCCTTTCTTTATAGGAGAGGTGTTCCACCCCTTTGATCATTTTTGTGGCCCTTCTCTGGACCCACTACAGCAGGTCCACGTCCATGTCTGTCTTGTGCTGAGGACTCCAGAGCTGGACACAGTACTCCAGGTAGGGTCTCACCAGAGTAGAAGGGCAGAATCACCTCCCTTGATCTGCTGGCCACATGTCTTTTGATGCAGTCCAGGATATGGCTGGCCTTCTAGGCTGTGATGGCCTGCAGCATGCTGATGCCATTGATCCTACAGCACAAGGATCAAGTGGGACAAGATCAGCTGGAGATGAGTTCTCAGCACTGTTTCATTAAAAGAACTTCATTTAAATGACCCTCTCCCTGACTTCAGTAATGTAGAAGCTGGTATTCTGAGGTAGGTGTTGCTCCTCTTTAAGAACTCTCAGGTGTGGAATGCTAGGTTTTTAATTGCTCTTGCTCAGTGTGTCTGTGGAGCAGTGAAAGGACACTGAGCCTCTACTCCAGGCTGCTTTGCTGTAGGCCTCCTTCTCAGAGGACATAAACCACTTCTCTGATTTCTCAACGTCTGGCAGAGATGGGGAACTGGATGAAAACCAACTGGCTGATTTTCAAACTAAATACAGATGGAAGTCATGCTGGCTGGCAGTGGTAATTATGTTAAAGAACTGGCAAAGACAGTAACTTTTTGCTCATTTGTTGAAATTAAGAGAATTGGTTGTACTCTCTGCAGACTGGCTACAGCCTCAAGTTCCCACCAAAACTAGCTGTGCTTGTGTGCCATGGGAGCATGTTTTGCCCACCACTCTTCAGGCGTATTCAATCACAACAACTTCCTTGTTGGACAGGTAGTGTCATGTCCATTAGAGTGAATGCTAGCCTTCTTGACATTTCAAATTAATTAAAAAAAAGAAAGAGTTGTAGTCATGCCAAGTATTTAGCAATTCATTGATGGGGCACTGACTCAGACATAAGATGTGTAGGTTTGAGGCTCTGGTCTCGCAGTCAAGGTAAAAGTATCAACTACCTATTTACTGCTGTAGGCTGGAGACCTCCGCTGTTGGAGATGTTTCATTTGTACAAAGAAACATTCCTCAGAGCAGGGGCAGAAATGTTCGTCTGCTGTATATATACTAAGTGAGTGCCACAGCTACAAATTCACTTACTCTCTGTAAACTCAACAAAAATTTGATCACTTATTCAATTAGGAGAGCGAACAGCTTAAAAAGAAATTTGCAGAAAGCACTATGAAAAAATGTGAAACAACCTGGCAGACTGGGTAATCAGCTTGGAAATGCAGACTCATACCCTTAGCCAGCAGCATATAAGAATTTGACTTTTGATCCATTCTGGTTTTTAGGATTTACTGGCAAAGAAGATAATTTGCTATTTTGGAGAAGTGCATAATTTCTCTTATCGTAAAGTCCATCTTGCAGTTGAGGCAAGTTTCTCAACAAAATTTTGATCAAAACTGGTATGTTCCCAAGAAATCTTTCTGTGGTGGCAAATCAGCATTTTTCTAATAAAAAGCAGCATATCACAGAAAAACTCACAGTCAGATCAAGTAAGAGTTTCGGTGACCAGAAATCCTTTTCTTTGCTAATCAAATGATGATATCCAGGATGTTGACCCATATGGTTAGCTTACTTGGCCTCATGCCACCCCATCCAAGTATAGTTTCAAAGACTTCTCTGAAGTTTCAGCTGGTGAAAATTGTGGTTTCCATCCCACAAACCATAACAGTCTATTAAGAACCAGTGAGGTCTATACTCTAGACCCTAATGAGACCTTTGATGCTAATAAAGTGAACAGCATACAATACAGCACTTGGAGGTTTTTTCTTAAGCACAGTTTTAGTGCTGTTTTTGAGCTACTAAAACCCCGTGGCCAAGATCTACTGAGGTGCTTATACTACTTCTATTTAAATTGGGAGGAGTCTTTAAGTCAACCTCCTCATATAGCCAGCCTGAGTAACTCTGTTTTGCTGACTGAAATTAATTCCTTTGGATCCACAGAGAGAGTGATGGAAGTAGGAAAAAAAGGAAAACTGAAACCTTGATCCATAATGGGAATGGCAAAACTCCTTCCATCTGAAGGTTCGTCAAAACCCTGCACTAACTCCAGAAGATTCAAGATAAGACAGTGTTCTCAGCATCAGTTCTGTGACTAAAACTCTCTTTTCCAGCTAGTCAGAGCTCACTGACTTTCAAGGAGTGATATAAGGCATTCACAATTACTTAGGCTCTTCCTATGGATAGGTCTTAAAAAAAAAAAAAAAAAAGAGGCTCTTTAGTCCTGTAGTTGACTTTAGTACAAAATATGTCAGAATATTGCTTAAAAAAACCTTTTGCATGACTAGAGAGTATGAGAAACACTTTGAAAAAAAATTTCAATGCATTGTGGGGTGCTGGAAAGGCTTAAAAAACCCACATTTCTGATAAACTATAATAAAAAAGAAAATCTATTCAGCTCTGTCCTTATGCTGTGCCAAGGCATACTGACATCATGATAGGTTGAATTACTGAAGAACAAATGCAAACTTTAAGAAATGCCTCTAAATTTACTGAACATGGCTAG